TGGTGTGCTTGTGCATCTGCTGTGGACGGACATCGGGTTGTTTCTAACGCGGGCTGTTCTGAATAAGGCTGTAATGCACAGTCCCGTGGAAGGCTTCGTGTGGCTGCACACTCTCACTCTCGTGGGTGGGTAACCAGGCGTGTCACGGCGGGGTCACCGGGGGGCTTAACTTCAAACGACACAGAAGTGGTCGTCCCACTTTCCGTCCACACCTGCCCCGTGTGTGACAGTTCCCAGTGCCCCACATCTCCCCCACATTTGGTGCTGTCTAGAAGGTGAGAAATGTGTCTACTTTGGTTTTAATTCTCATTCCCCCGATGACTGGAGATGTTGAGCGTCTCCTCACGCGCTGCTGCCCGTTCCTGTGTGTTCTTTTGAGAAGTGTCAGTTCAAATATTTTGCCCATATCATTTGGATTTTTGTATCTTGTCATTGCTGATTTGTGATAGTTCTTTCACATGTTCTATGTACCGTCAGATGTGCGTGTGATGAGTGTTTTCTCCCCACTCTGTGGCTTATCTATTCCCGTTCTTAATATGAGTGTCTTCCAAAGAGCTGGTGTTTCTAATTTTGGTGAAGGCCTATTTATCAATTGATAACTAGGTTTATGGTCTGTGCTGTATTATCTTGTCTAAGAACCTTTGCCTACTTTGAAGTTGTGACGATATCTTTCTATATTTTCTTCTAGAAACTTTATGGTGTCAGTTTTTGCATTTAGATCTATGATACACCTCATTATTAATTTTGTGCATGGAGTGGAAAAAGGATCAAGGTTCTTTTTTTTTTTTTTGTCTTTTCCGTGACCGGTAAGGGGATCACAACCCTTGGTGTGGTGTCGCCCACACCGCGCTCAGCCAGTGAGCGCACCGGCCAGTCCTATATAGGATCCAAACCCGCTGCAGGAACGTCGCTGCACTCCCAGCGCCGCACTCTCCCGAGTGCGCCACGGGGCCGGCCCTCAAGGTTCATTTTTATTCATACTAATATCCAGCTGTTCCAGCAACACTTGTTAAATAGACTTTCCTTTCCACATTTAATTGACTTAACAACTTTGTCAAAAATCAATTGCCTATCACTGCGTGTGTCAGTTTCTGGCCTCCTTATTCTGTCTCGTTGCTGTTATCTGTCCTATGTCAGTCCCGTACTGTCTCAAATAGCATAGCTTTACAGTAAGTCTCGAAATCAAGTGGTGCAAGTGCTCCAGTTTTGTTCTCCTCTTTAAAGATTTTTTTCTTTGAATTTCCATATAAATTTCAGACTCATCTATTTCTTCAGAACAGCTTGATGCATTTTGGTGGAAACTGCACAAAATCTATGTGTCAAGTTAAGGACAGTGGAAATCATCAAATGTTATAAATTCTAATTTATGAACATTAATTTAGGTCTTTTTAAATTACTCTCAGTAATGTTTCTAGTTTTCAGTGTAGAGGTCTTGCACACCTTTTGTTAGATTTATTCCTAGGTGTTTGATATTTTTGATGCTATTATAATAGTATTTTAAAAATTTCATTTCCAACTGTTTATTTTTAATATATAGTACAGTTATTTTTTCTGTATTAACCTTGTATTTTCTGACTTTCCTAAATTCTCAAGATCTAGTGGTTTCTTTGTAGATTCCTTCGGGTTTTCTTTTTTTTTTTTGTCTTTTTCCGTGTCCGGCAACGGATCGCAACCCTCAGTGTT